TACACAGCCATTGTGCTGGCTTTTGAGGCAAAAAACAAAAACAAAAACAGAAAACTCTTCTTAAGCTCACCACAGGAAGGACTACAAGTGGAGAGATAGACATTTATGTCTAGAGTAGTTTAATAACAAATCAGTTTCAGTTAAAGATGGCAAGTTGAACCCATCCATTATACTCCCCAAAACCCATGCAAATAACAGTAAAAGGATTTTATTAAAAGGCATAAGCCCATCAGTTCGAAGGTAGAATACAGATGGAGACTGTTAAAACATGCACTCTGAATGAAGAGACGCCCCCCCACAAACAGGCTTTGTGTGAGCAACATGGTGTGAGCACCCTGGTGTGGGTGGGCCGAGTCCGAAAAGAGAGTCAATGAAAGGCGGTGGAGTAGGAGTTGGTTTTATAGGTTTGGGGTAGGCAGTGGAAAGTTACAGAGGTTACAGTTTAGGGTGGTTTTTGCAGGCTGGGAGAGGGTCGTAGGTTCTGGAGTCGTGAGGTTGACCAAGGTTGGTTACAAAGTCCAATTGCCTTGTCAGTTGAGGCAGGAATAAGGAACAATAGAAGAATGTCTCAAGTTAATTAGGCACTGCAGGTGTTGGTCATTCTTCTCTCTTGTGGTTTTCCAGTTACTTCAGACTCTCTATTTCCAGGAACTCCTCCAGAGGTGTACGTGCAGATCACAGAGGTTACCATGCTGTCCATGGTGCAGTCAGCCAAAAAGACCTTACAGAGACGTCTAGGTAAAGATGGCGAATTGAATGCACATAATTCATTTTGCTCTTTTTGAAAACCCTGAAGTGACAATAAAGGAACTTTTTGAAAATCAGAAACCCACAAAGATAGAGATGAGATAGAAATTTGGCAGGACTTGTTTTACAAGATACATGTCACAAGGACACTGCTGATAAAACAAGATGCGGCAAAGAAGCCAGTCAAAACCTGCCAAAACCAAGATGGCAACAAAATTGACCTCTGATTGTCCTCACTGCTCCATTATATGCTAATTATAATGCATTAGCATGCTAAAGGCACTCTCACCAGTGCCATGGCAGTTTACAAATGCCATCTCAATGTCCAGAAGTTACCTTATATGGTCTGAAAGGAGGAACCCTCAATTCTGGGAAATCTCTGCCCCTTTCCTGGAAAACTTATGAATAATCAACCTCATATTTAGCATATAATCAAGAAATAACCATAAATATAGCCAGCCAACAGCCCACAAAGGCTGCTATACCTATGTAATAATCATGTTTTAGTCGTTTACTTTCTTTCTTTTTTTTGAGATGGAGTCTCCCTCTGTTGCCCAGACTGGAGTTCAGTGGCACAATCTTGGCTCACTACAGCCTCTGTCTCCTGGGTTCAAGCGATTCTCCTGCCTCAGCTTCCCGAGTAGCTGGGATTATAGGTACGTGCCACCACGTCCAGCTGATTTTTGTATTTTTAGTAGAGATGGAGTTTCTCTGTGTTAGCCAGGCTGGTCTGGAATTCCTGACCTCAGGTATCCACCCTTCTTAGCCTCCCAAAGTGCTGGGATTACAAATATGAGCCACTGTGCCCCGCCTGTTCCTTTACTTTCTTAATACCTTTACTTTCTTAATAAACTTCCTTTCACTTTATTCTGCTTGCTCTTGAATTCCTTCCTGTGCTTGAAATTTCTTCCTGCACAAAGCCAAGAACCCACGTGGCCTCCTGGGCTGAGCCCCAATTTGGGGTTTGCCCTGTGCCAGAAATAATGGGAGAGAAGACAACAACAGCACAAGTTTGGAAACTGTAAAGCAATGAATGAGTAAACTGAGCAGACTGGGAAAAGCTGAAGCCTGAACTGAAAGAGGGGAAGGCTAAAAAGCCAATTCCCACCCCTTCTCCCCAAACTCTGCCAGAGTCTCAGACACTGGTGACGCTACTGTTGCTAGAAGTAGAGTGAGGAAGGGAGCTAAAATAATGAGACCTTGGGCTGGATGTGGTGGCTCATGCCTGTAATCCTAGCACTTTAGGATGCCAAGGCGGGTGGATCACTTGAGGTCAGGAGTTTGAGACCAGCCTGGCCAACATGGTGAAACTCTGTCTGTACTAAAAATACAAACATTAGTCAGGCATGATGTTGGGCACCTGTAATCTCAGTTACTGAGGAGGCTGAGGCAGGAGAATCGCTTGAACCTAGGAGGCGGAGGTTACAGTGGATGGAGATTGCACCACTGCACTCTAGCCTGGATGACAGAGCAAGACTCCATCTCAAATAAATAAAAATAAATTAAATAAAATAAGGAGACCTGGCTAAAAATCAAGAAGTTTGATTATTAGGTCACTTCCCCAAATCTGTGTACGTATATGTCTTAGTTTGTTTTCTGTTGCTATAAAAGAATACCAGACCAGGCCTGGTGACTCACGTCTGTAATCCTAGCACTTTGGGAGTCTGAGGCAGGTGGATCACTTGAAGTCAGGAGTTCGAGACCGGCCTGGCCAACATGGTGAAACTCTGTCTCTACTAACATTACAAAAATTAGCCAAGTGTGGTGGCAGGTGCCTATAATCCCAGCTATTTGGGAGGCTGAGGCAGAAGAATCACTTGAACCCAGGAAGCAGTGGTGGCAGTGAGCCAAGATTGCACCACTGCACTGCAGCCTGAGACTCTGTCTCAAAAACAAACAAACAAACAAACAAACAAAACCAGAGACTGGGTAATTTATAAAGAAAATAAATTTATTTCTTACAACCCTGGAGGCTGGAAAGTCCAAAAACATGGTGCCATCATCTGTTCAGTTTCTGTGAGGGCCTTCTTGCTATGTCATAATATGGTGGAGGGCATTACATGGCAAGAGGGCAGGAGCATGCATGTCAGCTCAGGTTTCTCTTCTCTGAGGGGACTGGTGGCTTTATAAGAAGAAGGATTCCCACCCTGATGACCTTACTTCATCCTAATAATCTCCCAAAGGCCCCACCTCCAATCAGCATATAAATGTGTAGATTGTTTCCAACACATGAAACTTGGTCAACACATTTAAAACATAGCAGTGGCTGGGCACAATGGCTCGTGCCTGTAATCTCAGCACTTTGGGAGGCTAAATCTCAGCCTTGAGGTGGTTCCCCCATGCTGTTCTCGTGATAGTAAGTGAATTCTCATCAGATCTGATGGTTTTATAAGTGTCAGGTTTTATAAGAGGCAGGAAAATCACTTGAGGCCAAGAGTTTGAGACTAACCTGGGCAACATAGTGTAACCCTTCTCTAATTTTTTTTTTTTTTTTGAGATGGAGTCTCGCTCTGTTGCCCAGGCTGGAGTGCAGTGGCACGACCTCAGCTCACTGCAATCTCCACTTCCCGAGTTCAAGCAATGCTCCTGCCTCAGCCTCCTGAGTAGCTGGGATTACAGGCACCCACCACCACGCCTGGCTAATTTTTGTATTTTTAGTAGAGAAAGGTTTTCACCATCTTGGCCAGGCTGGTCTTGAACTTCTGACTTCATGCTCCACCTGCCTGGGCCTCCCAAAGTGCTGGGATTACAGGTGTGAGCCACTGTACCTGGCAGTGTGACCCTTCTCTACAAAAAATTAAAAAATTAGCTGGGTGTGGTGATGTACACTTGCAGTCCTAGCTACCTGGAAGACTGAGATGGGAGGATCCCTTGAGCCCAGGAGATGGAGGTTACAGTGAACTGTGATCACACTACTGCACTCCAGCCTGGGTAAAGAGCAAGACTCTGTCTCAAAAAGAAGAAAAAAAGTAAACTATAGCAGTGGATAATTGCCCTTTCTCCATGCTGGCAGAAAACTGAGGTTTGTTCTTGGAAATGGTAAAACGGGATCTCTGGATTGGGGGATACCAGGCTGAGGATGAAGATACCACGTTAAAAAAAGGGAGAGAGATGAAACTGTTGGAAAAAAAAAACTTCTGCTCTACCAGCTTGGGTCTGTATAGTTGGGGCCCTGCAAATGAATGGACGTTGGACAGACTAACAGGAGAAAAGACAGATGTGCAGGAGCAGTTAGTAGTGAGTGCCTTGCTGGATAGCCAGAGTGAAAGGTTTATACAAGGTTAAAAAAATAAGGGCTTAGGGCTTCAAAGATGGGAGGTTCTGATGAAGTTTCTTTCCATCATTTTCTTGGAATGTTGCAGTGTCCAAGGTCAGTTGACCTCCCTGGAGGGTGGGAGGGGGGCAGGGTCGTGGCTGCTGACTCACACAAAGCCGTGCTTTAGTCAGATAAGGAACATATGGATCATATCTCTTTCTGTGTCTGCTTTTGGGTTTTTGGTGCCTTCAAAATGAACTTATGCATATGAGTGTGAGACCTCCATATCCCTTTCCTGAGAATGCTGGCAGTCTGGCCTTTACCTTTTAAGCCAAAGACTGGAAGAGTGTTTTTCTGGGGAATCTGGTTAGCTCAAGAGGAAAGACTTAAAGATACAGACATCAGAGGTTCCCCAACTACAAAGCCATTCACCCTACAGGGATCTCATAGTTAGACAGGTCCCACACCCACTAGGTGCTTCTAATTAACACTCAGTTCCCAGCTCTCACATAGAAGCTAACAATGAGGGAAAGCCACCAACGTGAAAGGCACCAAAACAAACAAGACATAAGCAACTGAACAGTGTTAAGTGCAATGTAGGAAGAAGAAAACTTACGAAGAACAATTATTAATACCCTTAGAGAGATAAGCGATGATAATTGCATGAAATAAGAAATAGGGCCAGGCGAAGTGGCTTGCACCTGTCATCCCCGCACTTTGGGAGGCTAAGGCTGGCAGATCATGAGGTCAGGAGTTTAAGACCAGCCTGACCAACATGGTGAAACCCCATCTCTACTAAAGACACAAAAAGTTAGCCAGGCGTGATGGCAGGTGCCTGTAATCCCAGCTACTTGGGAGACTGAGGCAGGAGAATTGCCTGAACCTGGAAGGTGGAGGCTGCAGTGAGTCAAGATTGCACCATTGCACTCCAGCTTGGGCGACAGAGCGAGACTCCATCTCAAAAAAGAAAAAAAAGAAAAAAGAAATAAATGCTATATAAAATAATAAAGAAGAGCTCTTAGAAATTAAAAATATAGTAGGAGAAATTGAAAATTTCAATAGAAGCATTAGAGGATTAAGTTTAAATGTGGGGGCCAAAGCCATCAGATCTCTGGAGTTTTGCAGAAAATGTAATGTGCAGAAGGGGAGGATGGATAGCTATGTAGAAATACAATCGGGGGAAAGAGAGTCTGACCTAGTGCCGATAGACTGAGTGGGGAAGCCCAGCAGGGTTGTCTGTCCAGATTCTTCTTGGCCTCTCTGAGAACGCATTCCTTCCATTGGGTGTGCATCAGGACCCTCTCTGGATTAGGGGGTGTCGCAACCTACAATCAAACAAGGTAGGTCAGATAATTTCTTTATGGCCAGTTTTTACACAGAAAGGCAAAGGGAAAATGAGAGTAATAGTTTTAGGTTTCATGGCTGGCTTTGGGGAAAAGGGATTCTTGTTTCTGTGGCTGGCCTTGAGGGAGAACCGGACTGAGAGACAGACGGCAGGAGAAGATCGTAGAAAAACTTTTGCTTCTGAGGCTGCTGCTGACGCCTTCATTTTGGGGTATTGTTGAGCTCAAACAAGCCTCTCAGAAAGTAGAATGATACAGTTTGACTGTGTCCCCACCCAAATCTCATCTTGAATTGTAATTCCTATAATCCGCATGTGTCATGGGAGGGACCTGGTAGGAAGTGATTGGATCCTTGGGGCAGTTTCCCCTATGCTGTTCTTATGATAGTGAATGAGTTCTCGCGAGATCTGGTTTTATAAATGTCTGGCATTTCCCTTGCTGGCACTTCTCTCTCCTGCCATCTTGTGAAGAAGGTACTTGCTTCTCCTTCACCTTCCACCATGATTGTAAGATTCCTGAGGCCTCCCCAGTCATGCTGAACTGTGAGTCAATTAAACCTCTTTCCTTTAGAAATTACCCAGTCTCAGGCAGTTTGTTTGTTTGTTTATTTATTTTGAGACAGAGTCTCACGCTGTTACCCAGATTGGAGTGCAATGGTGCGATCTCAGTTCACTGCAACCTCCGCCTCTTGAGTTCAAGTGATTCTTCTGCCTCAGCCTCGTAAGCAGCTGTGATTACTGGTGCACGCCACCATGCCCAGCTAATTTTTATATTTTTAGTAGAGACGTGGTTTTGCCATGTTGGCTAGGCTGGTCTTGAACTCCTGGACTCACACTTGAGGCCTCCCAAAGTGCTGTGATTACAGGAGTGAGCCACTGTACCCAGCCCTTGGGCAGTTCTTAATAGCGGTATGAGAACGGACTAATACACGGAACAAAGAAGACAAAGAGATAGAAAATAGAAAAGATAAGAAAATTAGTGGAGCAATCCAGAAAGTCCTCTACATGAAGGAAAGAAAACCCAAACAGAGGAGGGGAGGTTGTAAACTAATTCAAGAAAAGTCCCAGACCAGAAGAACATGAGTTTTCAGACTAAAAATACCTTCCAAGTGTCCAACACGGTGAAAAAATAGCGCACACCAAGGTGCAACATCATGAAGAGAAGAATCTACAAGGTTCCTGAGAAAGAGGAGGAAAAAGCCATCACTTATAAAGGATCTAGTATGAGAATGGCATCTTTACCGTCACAATCATGTAAATACTGATCTAACAAAAATTGCAATATACATAAGTCATCAGGATAGAGAGGAGGAGTGTGCGTGTGATGGCAGGAGGGGAAAGACAGCCAAATCTTCGTGCTCGATAATGGAAAGTCAATAGATAATGCCAAAAATGAAATAACAAAGACATAGCAACATAAGCACATTTTAAAGAGATTTGGAGGTAAATATCGAAAGAATCAGCTAAAAGCATTGAAATAGTTGCCTCTAAGGAGTGGTTGCCTCTGCCTGGGATGGGTGAAGGGTCGGAAAGCAAGGGATTACAGGCGGTTTGTTTTTTAATTTCAAACCCAGTAGAATTAGGTAACTCTTTAAACCTTGTGGATGTATAACATTCATAAAATAAAAAAGTAGAACTAAAAAAATGCTGGGCACATGTTTTTTGTTGTATTATATGTATTTGTATGTCTGTCATTTTTCATAATAAAAATGTTTTAAAGAAAAAAGAATCCCAGGTCTGATGGTAACGTCAGAGGAGAGAGAGATTCTGTGGGCTGGAGAAGACTTTGTGAGTGGGGCTTTCTTTAGCTGAGTGGTGAGCTGGGATGGGAGTTAAATGGGCAGCGGGAGGCAGAGGGGCCTTCTGGGATGAGGAGGTGGCAGGGAGCAAGGGCTCAGGGAGGCTCTGATGTCGGTGTGTTAGTATGTCTTTTGCTTTGATTGGGTAAAATGCCCCCCCCCCCACCCCGTGCCGTACTCTGCTCACAGTGAAAGATGAGGTGGATTTTGGCAGAGATGGCCAGGCAGAGGGATCTGAACTTCCCTTTGAAGGCTGGCTGTTGCCCCTGAAGGATGTATGCAGAGAGAGGATGGCAGAGGGACAGGGGCTAAGCACCCCCAGGTGGAGGGCAGGAGAGGCAGGGGAAGAGTCAGGCAGGGAGACAAGAAAAGGGAGTGGCTGGTACAGATGGCGAGGAAGGACAGAGTTTAAGGAGATGTCAGGACAAAAACAGCTGCAAATGAGATGTACTAGGCTCATGCCCCAGGCCGAGCACTGCTCTCAGCTCCTCATCTCATTTGGACCTGATGACAACTCTAGGAAATAGGTGAGGGATGAATGAGGAAACAGGAACTAAGCCCTTTCCAAGGCCACTCATCACTGCGTGGTGGAGCCAGGATTTGAATCCCAGCATCTGACTCAGAGACCTGGAATCTCAACTCTGCCATGTTGCAGGCCACAGGCCTGCCAGCCTAGAGGGGTGGTTTCAAAAATTAAAACATCTTTTTTATGTTAAAAAGGTAGATTTTTAAACCATTTACCAAAAATAGTGACACTCATTATAATAAATAAAAGTAAACTGGCTAGGCGCAGTGGCTCACGCCTGTAATCCCAGCATTTTGGGAGGCCGAGGCAGGTGGATCATGAGGTCAGGAGTTCAAGACCAGTCTGATCAAGATGGTGAGACTCCCCCGTCTCTACTAAAAATACAAAAATTAGCTGGGTGTGGTGGTGGGCGCCTGTAATCCCAGCTGCTCAGGAGGGTAAGGCAGGGGAATCACTTGAACCTGGGAGGCATAGGTTGCAGCAGTGAGCTGAGATCGTGCCACTGCACTCCAGCCTGGTAACAGAGTAAGACTAAGACTCTCTCTCTCAAAAAAAAAAAAAAAAGTAAACCACTACTAAAAGCCAATGAGACTTCCTCCTTTAGCCCCTGTACCCCCAAACATTGGTGCACTCACCCCACTAAGGTTAGGGATGGGACTGCCTGGGAACCCAGATCAGGGGACAAGTTTGGGACCTGGGTGGATTTCATAAAGCACAAAGCCCTTGGAGTGGTGTGTGAATGTTTGTGTATCTGTAGACATAAACAGTGTGACTGTGGGGAGCAGCCATCAGCGTGGGGGCCCCTCAAAAGTTAAAAAGCGACTGATGCTGCCTTGTGTCCTGCCTGTGCGGAGAGGGGAGTATGTGTGAGAGAGTGTGTGTATCCATGTGCATACATGCACATATTTGTGAATTTCATTGTTTGACTATGTGTGTGGGTCTTGTTTGTAATGATGAATTGTGTGTCTGTGAGCAGACAGTTGTGTATGTGCCTATAAACCAATGTCTGCGTGTGTGTGTGTTAGGTATGTGAGTGTGTAAGTGAAAGTGTAATTATGTCAACGGTGATGAATTGTGTATCTGGGGACCTGAATATTTGTTCATGGGAGTGCCTGTGTATTCATGTATGTGCACATGTGCATGTGAACAGAACTGTGGGGTGCATGTTCTGTGATTATGGGTCATGTGTAAGAGGGCAGATGTACATACATGTGGCAGTTATGTGATGTTGTCTGTGGATGGAGTGTGAGGTGTATGTGGTTATGAATCCTGTGTCTGGGGCAGGTTGATTTGGGGTGTGTGTGTGTGTGTGTATGTGTGTGTGTGTGTGTAGTGGTGCCTGGGCATGAGAGTGCATGGGTGCAGGTCTGTATATAGCATGTATGTGCCTGTGTGTGTGTGTGTGCCCTGTGTGTGCTGGGAAAAGACATCAGAAGTCCTTGCCATTCCCCCATTCCAGCCCCTCAGGCTTCAGAGCCTGCTCCCATTTGGGTCTAGAGCAGCATGCTCCAGAGAGATGTGAGCATCCTTTCAGTGGCCTGGGGAGCAGTGACAAGGAAATGTGCTTGTTTATACCTGAAAACCTTAATAAATCATCAAATTTACGTGTGTGTTGCAGGGAGCAATGGGAACAGGCAGCATTCAACTTGCGAGACATGCAGATGTTTGACTCAATGTGAAAGTTTATTTGTAAGCCCAGAGAGTGAATCGTGCTGGAGACGGGACTCCCAGGCCCTGGAGAAATCTGAGAACCTTTCCTTTTTCACTCCTCTCTCCTTTGCACGCCTTTTAACAGAGCCTTGGAATAACATTAATTTATCTAATGCGTGCACGCCATAAGTTACTTTTTTAATTATTATGATCAAAATATTGCTTAAAATTGACGCCAGCTGCATATGTTTCTGTCAGAGATCATAATTGCAATTGTAAATTGGGGAGCAGTTTGGCGCCAGGAGCCTCCCTGAGTAACGGCCCCAATACTGTTACCGAGAGGTGGATAAAAATAAAACTGCAGATCGCACGGCAAAAATACACCAGCGTGAGTTAAAAGGACAATTAGCGGTGCAGAAAGGGAAGTGGGACTCTTGTCTGTTCTGTGGCACACGGGGCAAGGACTGGCCTGGAGGCTGGCCCCAGACTGGGCTAGGGCTGGGCAGTGGGATGGCTCCTAGGGAAGGACCCAAGCAGGCCTCTGCACCTCAGTTTCTCCTTCTGTAAAATGGAGATAATGGAAACACCCAGTGGCTCCAACCAGGTGATGCATGTGAAAGTTTCCTAGAAACCCACAAGCTCCCTATCTAAGTAAAGGGATTCCTCAAGGGCTTGGGAAATGGTGCTTTCTTCACCTTCCCCATCAGGAATGGTTTAGGCTGACTTTGACTTTCAAAGAAAACTGCAGATTTAGGACCAAAAGGCTGCGTTAGAGTGCAATGGTTAGGAGCAGAGGCTGGAGGTGGGAGCCTGGGCCCTGCTCCCTCCCACCAAGTTTAGAGGCTGCCCGTGTATGACCTCTGCCCAGTAGGGACAAGGGTTTTCTTTAGTCTCTGCCCTCCCAAGCTTTCTTTCCAACCATCATATTGGATGATATGTGGGAGTTGTCCTCGTGTCTGTCTGTGGTTGCAGAGTTCCCTGAAGCTGGCGGGGGCCTGGAGGCAGGACCAAGGGACATCACTTTGTTTAGAGCCTATCACTCTCGCCCTTCCACTACTCTTGCTATGCCAGCCATGGGCTGTTCGACTAGTGACGGAGAGGGCAGGAGAGGAGCTCAACCCCTGCGCTTTCTCCAGGCTCTGTTCCCCAGCCTGAGCCAGTCCTGCCATACCCACAGCCACCTCCAGCCTCCCGGGCTGCCAATGTACCACCCGCCTGTCTTCCCGTCGCTCAGGGTGACTCCATAATGACTATAATCATGGTGTTCCGGAGAGGTGAGGGAGGGACAGCGAGAGCTTCCCTAGACAGCCTGTCCATTAGTGGGGCAGCGGCCTGTCACAGCTGTCCGGAGAGAGATGAGCCCTGACCAGGCCAGAGAGGCCTGGGGAGGGGAGACCAAGAACCCCTGTCTTCTCCATCCCTTCTTCCCCTTCCCCACTCCCTGGCCTTCTGCTTAGGAACTCTGCTCTAATTAGAAATGATTTGACAACTTTAGGCCAGGCTCTGTAATTAAAAATAAAGAAGAAGACAGGCAGCATTGTTTCCTAACACGATGCCTTTAATTGGTGGAGTTAATTTTAACGGGGCCTAGCTCAGTGCCTTGGAGGAGGGGATTCCAGAACTGGGGCTCTTGCTGGCATCCCCTGGAAGGCTCGCCCAGCCCATTTACCTCATCAGCCAGGGCTCCTCAGGCAGGGGGCAGAGTCTTCATTTATTTTTATCTCTGGTGCCTGGCACACAGTAAGCAGAAGCAGGGGCCTGTGGTGAGGAAGACCCAAAGCATCTGGAGCTTCTGCCAGTCAGGAGGATTGCCTGAGGCCAGGAGTTCGAGACCAGCCTGTGCAACATAGTGAGACCGCCCCCCACGGCTCTACAAAAAACTACAAAACTTAGCTAAGAATGGTGGTGAGGACTTGTAGCCTCAATCTTCCCTCTTCAGCCTCCTGAGTGGCTGAAAGTGTCTCCCACCCCTTTCAGCCACTCAGGAGGCTGAAGGATTGCTTGAGCTCAGGAGATCCAGGCATGGTGCCACTGCACTCCAGCCTGGGCAACAGGGCAAGACTCTGTCCCCCACTCCCAAAATAAATAATTTAAAAAATAAAAATTAAAAAAAGCCACATTGGGATTGTGACTTGCAGAGAATAGAGAGAAAGCCTTCCAGGCTGGCTCAAGTGACAAGGGAGACATTGCAAGGGCAAGGAAGAGCTGCTGTAGATACCCCAAGGCAGGAAGGGAACAACAGCTGATCCACACAGGGTGGAACCCATGTCAGGGAGGGATACCCCTCCCTCTACCTCTGAGACTTCCATAATTGAGTCTATGAAATAAACTGACAGGAGGCAAATTAGCAGGAGAAAAGGTAGACACGATTATTACGTGCACAGGAGCAACACGTGAAGGAAAAGTGAATACCCCAAACCCAGCGAGATCTAGAAGCTGAGATGCTTTCTTCATAGGGGAGAGAGAAGGCGGAACGCGGGCAAGTTGGGGGAGCGTATATGGCATTTGGAAAGAATGGGCCCTTGGAAGAATGAGTGACAGTCTGACAAAGTCTGCCTGAGTGGGTGCCCCCCAGATCCCCAGTTTCCTCTCTTTCTCCTGTGATAGGAGCCAGTCTTCTCTGTTTGATAGATTCCTAGGGAGTGGGCTAGTTGACAGTTGGCTTCTTTTTGGAGGACATCTTTAGGCAGATGCAGGAAGTTCAGAGAGCGCCCCTGCCCACATTTGCTGTACCCCAAGTGCTCTCAGTTTGAGGTAATCAGTATACCAGAGCTGAATATTTTGGGGTGACATTTCCTGAGCTTTTTTTTTTCTTTTTCTTTTTTTTTTTCAGAAACAAGGGAAGCCAGGAACCCAACCTGCTTTCTCCATCTCTCAAGGCCTCCTCAGTAGCCAAGACTTCTCTCTCTCTGGGGTCTCCCACCTTTTTGGGGACCAGCCTCCCCAAAGATAAGAGACTGTTTTTCTCTTTTAACTTCAGCTCATGCTGAAATTAAATCCCTTCTTTAGTTCTTTTAGCACTGCCAAAGACAGGCTGGTATTTTCAAATATAACTGTATCTTTTAAAAGCTAGAAAATAGAAATAGAAAATACAAATAGCAGAAACAGTTTTCCAAAGGGCAGATTCTGAGTGCTAGGAATCCTGGTAGAAGTAGAAACTCCATTTTCTAAGTTCCAGGCTATGCAATAATATTTCTCTAACCTTCCAAGAGCTGGGACAATTCTATCCCTGTCCCCATGAGATAGATGCCTCAGGTGGAATCTACAGAAGCAGAATTGTTCCCAGTCTTTTCGAGGAACCCCTCTGTTAAGAAAGCATGGCTCAGTAAATATGTGGTATCCTATTTTCCACCAAGTGAAACAGTTTAGCAGGATACTTTATTTCCTCCTGGGAGGAACAAGAAAGACCCCCCAAAGACATACCCTTCTGTAAATTAAACCTCTTGGAGCTAAGCCTTCCCTCATCCCCATTACCCAAGCCTCATCCCTAAATCTTGCCAGTTTCATAAGAAGCTGAAGAGTGTTTTTGAAATAGTAAACCTACCTGTTCCTATTGCCTGGTCGCCCCGCACCCACTGCGTCGATGACATCGATGCCTCTGGGGAGGGCGGCTACACGCTAGAACAAAGAAGTCAATTGAGTTGCTGAGTGGATTTTTTTTTTAACTTGAGGCAGATGCAGATACAATAGTCTACGGGCAAAGCGATTTTGATTTGCAAGAGCTAGGCTTAAGAGAGAAAGTTTAGCTTTAAATTCCAAGAAGGCTTAGTTTAAACTCAGGACTGATCATTGAATTTCTGAAAGTTAACCATAAGGTGTCTGGGGATGCAGTAGATGTTTAAATGTTGATTGAATCAATCTTTCTCCATATACAAAAATCCATCAATGTGATTCAACTTTTATTCTCATGCAATGCTTTAATGAGTAGCAGTAGTTAACACTGTAATTACCTGATGCTAGGTACTGTGCTAAGGGTCAGATAACTCATTTAATATTCTCAACAACCTCATAGAAATGATAGCACGATTATCCCCATGCTCAGATGAGCTCGTGTTGATTGCCTGCTACCCAGCTATAACAATGCCTCTCTGTCATTCAATCAATTCTCTCACTTCTGTTTCCATTGCACCTTCTCCATCCAGGTTCTTGTGCTTACTCTTCTCTCTTCTGGGAAGGTTCATCGACACCTTGTCTCTTTGGAGGAATCAGACCCCCCTTGTTCTGAGGCTTCCAGAGACAGGTAATCATATCCTTCTCCATGCCACAGCTAAACCTGTGCACATACAGGTTTTATTTTTGCACTTTACATACAGAAATTTACTGTAATTATTTGTGTAGGTCGGTCTCATTTGAGAGTAGTGGGGTTTTCTCTGTATCTTTAGAATCTAGCAAATGCTTGGCACATAGTAGGGACCAATGACTAATAAATAAGTGACTAAATGATGGATGAATGGGAAAAAAAAGTTAACCACAGAGCAGAGACCTGAGGGTAGTTGCCCCTCCACGCAGGAAAAAATTCCTGGGAAATAGGGAAGCCCAAGGAGAGAGGTGGAACCATCATTTAGAAGGAGCCGTTGGGTCTCTACTTTCTACTTAGAGGTCAGAACCCCTGGGGGTGATAGAGACCGCAGGTGCATCTGCTAAGCCCCCGGCAGTTTATGCCCTGCTTCTCTCCAGAACTCTCAGAATATCCTGATCCAGCAGGGAAAAGCCTTGCAGAGCGGAAGGTGCCTTTAGGCAGTTCGAGGGCCTGAGATCCTTGCTCTGGTCCTTCCCACAACTCCCTTCAGGTTCCCGGCATGCAGCTGATACCAAGGAAATCTAGAGTGGCCTCCAGTCTGAGAGATGAGGACTCGGGGGACAAGTCAGGGCTAGCAGGAGGGGAGCAGCCCAGCAATCAAGATAAATAATATTTTAATGCAATACTTAAAAAAAAATCGGCGACTGGGCACGGTGGCTCATGCCTGTAATCACAGCACTTTGGGAGGCTGAGGCAGGAGGATCAAAGGTCAGGAGTTCAAGACTAGCGCCTGGACAAGATGGTGAAACCCCGTCTCTACTAAAAATACAAAAATTAGCTGGGCTTGGTGACAGGCACCTGTAATATCAGCTACTTGGGAGGCTGAGGCAGAGAATTGCTCGAACCTGGGTGGCAGAGGTTGCAGTGAGCTGAAATCATGCCACTGCACTCCAGCCTGGGTGACAGAGTGAGACTCTATCAAAATAACAACAACAACAACAACAACAAAAAATTGGCAAAATATGGCTCATGGGTTGGCTGCCTAGTTTTATTTTTAATTATTTAATTAATTTTTTTGAGACAAGGTCTCACTGTGTTGCCTAGGCTGGTTTCGAACTCAAGCAATCCTCTGCCTCAGCCTCCTGAATAGCTGAGACTACAGGCATGTGCCACAGTGCCCAGCTGTTGCCTGTTGTGTGTGTGTGTGTGTGTTTTGAGATGGAGCCTCACTTTGTCGCCCAGGCTAGAATGCAGTGGTGCCATCTTGGCTCACTGCGACCTCTGCCTCTCGGGTTCAAGTGATTCTCCTGCCTCAGACTCCCAAGTAGCTGGGACTACAGGTGCCCGCCACCATGCCTGGCTAATTTTTTTGTTTTTTAGTAGAGATAGGGTTTCCCCATATTGGCCAGGCTGGTCTTGAACTCCTGACATTGTGATCTGCCCGCCTCCCAAAGTGCTGGGATTACAGATGTTATTTGTCTTTTAATTGCTGAGTTATAAGAGTTCTTTATGTATTCTGTGTACAAGTAAGTTATGAACGGCTTCCTTTTGTGTAGAGGATGAATTTTAGTCCCTTCGGCTGTCCTGCAAGGCTCTTCCAGATCGAGCCTGATTTCCTTTACTGCGGGCTCTATCTCCTGCTACTCCCTTCCTTTTACTGATAATGCTTTTTCACGTCCCTGTCCAGAAAATGCTCTCTCTCACGCTGGCCTTTTGTAGATGCCATTCCAAAAACATTATTGTTCCTTCTTGCCTGGCTAAAATCCACCCACCCTCCACTTAAGGTTCCTTTCTGTGGGCTGAAAAGATGGTGCAGGCTGGGCATGCATGGTGGCTCATGCTTAGAATCCCAGCACTTTGGGAGGCTGAGGCAGGAAGATCACTTGAGCCCAGGAGTTTGGAGAGACCAGCCTGGGCAACATAGTGAGACTCTCCAAAAAAGTAAAAAAAAAAAACCCCCAAAATTAAATCAATATTAAATATATATAAAACAGATGGTGCAGCAGGCAAGCTCCATGCCTGAGAGTTGGTCTATGTTCAGGGCCAGCTACTGAGGGCACGTGTGGATTCTGGCCCTGTGACACTGACAGTGAGGTGCTGGAAAGTGATTGCAACACCCTCCACGAGACCCAAGAGGGCCAGTGAATCCCTTGGAGTCAGAGGAGATTTTAAAGGTCATTTGGCCCACCCTCCTGCCCCAGAGGTTGGAGCATTTCTGCATCATCCCCATGTAGCCTGTCCTGTCTCTGGATTCCACCCGGGACAGCTAAACCACTGCTCTGGGGATATGCAACATGACCTTTAGGGAAGGGGAATGGTGTGTTTACCTGCAGGCAGGCAGCCCTGGGCTTCAATCCTGGCTCCGCCCTCAGCCATGGAATCTAGGGCAGGTCTCCTAAGTTAGTTTTTCAGTCTGCAGACAGGTAGTAAAACCTGCCTTGTGGGGCTGTTATTTGGCACTGGGCAGGCACTCAGCAGTGTTGGTTTCCTTTCCCTCCTATTAGAAAGCTTGGCCTCAGATTGAGCCTAAATCTGTTTTCCTGTGAATTCCACACATTGGTCTTGGAGCCACAGGGGGCACGTCTCTCTCATCCCAGTCTGTTTCGTGTTTGGAGTTTGTCACCTTAAAAGCGTCTCTTGAGGTCAGGCGCGGTGGCTCATGCCTGTAATCCCAGCACTTTGGGAGGCTGAGGCAGGTGGATCACAAGGTCAGGAGTTTGAGACCAGCCTGGCCAATATGGTGAAACACTGTCTCTACTAAAAATACAAAAATTAGCCAGGCATGGTGATGGGCACCTGTAGTCCCAGCTACTCGGGAGACTGAGGCAGGAGAATTGCTTCAACCCAGGAGGCAGAGGTTGCAGTGAGCCGAGATCATGCCACTGCACTCCAGCCTGGGAGACAGAGCGAGACTCCATCTCAAAAAAAAAAAAAAGCCTCTCTCTGCAAACTCAGCATCTTCACCTCCCTTAGCTGCTCAGCCCCAGTCACCCATGCTGAAGTGAGCCTCACTCAGAGTCCTTGAGAGGCAAATCCATTCCACAGACAATGGCTGTATTATTGATAACGGTTAGGCTTTGTATCCCCACCAGGTATCATCTTGAATCATAATCCCTATAATCCCCATAATCTCTTATGTGACAAAGGGGAGACAAGGTGAAGGTAATTGAATCATGGGGGTGGTTCCCCCACGCTGTTTTCACAATAGTGAGTTCTCATGAGATCTGATGGTTTTATGAATGTTTCGTAGTTCCTCCTGCGTTCATTCTCCCTCCTGCCACCTTGTAAAGAAGGTGCGTTGCTTCCCCTTCTCCCTCCACCATGATTGTAAGTTTCCTGAGGCCTCCCCAGCCATGCTGAACTGTGAGTCAATTAAACCTCTTTTCTTTATGAACTACCCAGTCTCAGGCAGTTCTTTATAGCAGTATGAAAACGGACTAATACTATTGACCATGACATTAGGTCACTTCTGTCAGGATAGGAGCAGTTTCTGATTCACTACATCGGGTACAGCCATTTGCACTTGCTAAGTATGTAATAAATATGTGTTGACTGAGCCTGCCTCCCTTGGTCAGAGGGAGTACTCTTGCCCCAAGTGTTCCCTCCCTTCCTCAGCTACAACTTGAGGCCAGGGAGTGAGGCAGGCAGTGTATTGTAAGACCTTAAATTAATATACTCTTTCAACATTTACCAAGCACCAAGTTAGGGGCTCCGATAAGAACTCTTATGAGTTTTCTAGGGCTGCAGTAACAAATTACCATAAACAGCATGGCTTAAAGCAACAGACGTTTCTTCTCTTGTAGCTCTGAAGGCTGGAAGCCCAGAATCAAGGTGACAGCAGAGTCATGCTCCCTCTGAGGTTCAAGAAAAGAATCATCACACTCCTCTTTTCTAGCTTCTAATGGCTTCTGGCAGTTGCTAGCAGAGCCTCACTCCAATCTGTCTCTGTCTTCACACGGCATTCTCCCCTGTGTGCCCCTGGGTCCGTATTTCCCGCTTCTTAAAAGAATGCCAATTGTTTGGAGTGAGGTCCACTCTAATCCAGTATGAACTCATCTAAACCTGATCATATCTGCAAAGACACTATTTCCAAATTAAAGTCACATTCCCAGGTTCTAGATGTTCATGCATTTTGGGGGGACACCTGTCAACAGTATGGAAAACAATGCTTGCTGTCAAGAAGCCCATAGTCTGGTGGAAGGGCGTGTTAACATAGAAGAGCGATGTGGTGATTGACAGAGGCATGCTGGAGCAGAGAAAGAGAGCATGTGTACTGGGAAGACACATGAACCAGTCTCTGAAGGGATAGGAGCTGGTCAGAAGAAGGGTGTGAGTAAAGGTGGGAGAAATGACCTGGGGGATCCAGAGAACTA